ATAGTTTTTATGAAATATAATTCGATTAAGAATTTCTCTGTGTTTCTATAGGAGACAAATTATGAAATTATAAGATTTCCATAAATTTACATTTATATCGTTTATAGGAAGATTGGCAAAGTGATAGATAAAATAATTCCAGTTTCGAAAAATCTTTAAAACGAAACTGCGTAGATGTTCATTATTTTTTTTTTCTCCGTCAACGTTTCTATATCTACGCGTGCATAATCGTTTTGTAAATAAAAGAAAAAAAAAGAAAAAAAAAAAAAATACGTAGACTTATCGTATACGTTATTCAAGTTATGCCAATTATCGTGTTTTCATTTGCAAAGTGTTATTCAAGAAATTTAATAATTTCTTTAATACGTAGTAACGCTTCAAATTCATTGTAACAAATGTTATTGTAGTAATTATATAATTATGATTTTAATCAATCTTTCATTCATATTCTTTCAATTGATAAAATCAATGATTCGATATTTACATAGGTAGATATAATTTTCAATTATACATTCTCTATCTTCGTAGATTCCTATCCTTATCAAATATTGCCAAGCATGCCCGGTTACATACCTGTATACATAAGAAATGGAGATCAACCATTGGAGGAAATAAATCCTGCCCTGGCTGAAGCATTCCATGAACACTCGAGCTTATCCAAGGTATCGACTTTGCTGGAATATTATGGAACAAGAACTATAAAGCGACAACTAAAATCGTTTAACAAGAAAATTCGATAAAAAAGTAGGCCCGAATCTAATTATTTTCTTAAACTATTTGATATTTTTGATAAATTTCTATTTTATTTTTTTTTTTCTTTTCTTTTCTCAAGATAACACAATTAAGTAATTTATTATTCACAAGTATTGTCTTATCCTTAATAATAATAATTCTCATTCAATTGATAATTCAGTTGGAAAAAAAAAAGATCTTATAAATATTTCATTTAATCATTAATTCATAAATGGTCCACGATAATTAAATATTTTTTTTTACTTTAAGTTCGCATAAAATAGATTGAAATATAGATCAGATTATTTAATTTGAAGCAGAGCATTCGATTGGATCGCAACTATGGCCAGCTTGAGCCAACTAAAGAGAGCAGAACCAACTTGGTGGTGGACGATTCGAGAAAAATATATTATCCTGCCCACGCTAGAGAATCCGGAAATTCAATAGCCGGGAATGAAAGGCGCGACGAGGAAGAAACACACGTCGGAAAGAGTCCTGGTCTTGTGCAAGTACCAAAACTCGTTTCCCTTTACGAATTGCATGAAAAGTTAAAAAAGACGCAGGAGGATCCATTGAAAGCTGATTTCAATTTAAGGGAGTCTCTGGCCAAAGTAATTTCATATAATACTTGATAGTTATTAATATCCATAAAAACTTTCGAATAGAATCTTTAACAATTTCGTCGTCGTATTGTCGTATTGAAATAATTAAAAAAAAAAAAAAAAAAAAAAAAAAGAAAAATTACGTTTTATAACGATCCAATAATATGAGAAAGATTTGAAAATTTAATTTGGTTTCTTTCGAAAATTTCAAAAATCAAATTTTACTTAGTGAACAAAACGTGACAAATTGATTTGTCACATATTCAATGCATACAAATATTTTTAGAACAAATTCTTATTCTCTTAAAGAATTCTTATAGTGTGTCCTTTTCATTTACACTTGTATATATCAATGGCTCTAATGTAGTTCAATTTGATCTTTAATATTCAAAATGATCTTGACGTTGAATGCATTAAGGAATTCGTTGGATGAGTCATTATACTTATAATGTAATTCTTACAATTAAAAATAAATATTACCATACGCGATGTTTTCACTTAGACAGATGACGAATAAATACTACGGTGTTTCTCCGTGAAATGATCATTAATTATTTCTATACGTCGAATCTACGATTGATTTACGTTATGCGTATATCGTACGTATACCCATAAATATCAATAGATACTTATCTGTTCGTACACATGTTGATTGAAAAGATAAAAAAAGCATAGTCAATGTCACGTATTTTTGTATCTCGATAATTTCTCTTATTCGCGTAATATCAGAAAAGAATGAAACAGCTTGAAAGATTTTATTCGTTGATTTAACGATGAATCAACAAATCATAGTCGTAAATCATCCTGATCAATAATGAATCGGTCCAATTACGTACGATATCGTCTAACATATAATTGAACATGAATGCGCGTTCGAGAGATGTCGATGATGTAACATATTTAAAAAAAAATTCAAAAATCTAATTGACATATTTGACGAATAATCACGCCTAAATCATTATAACAAATAATCTCGCGTTCCTTATTTTTTTCTTTCAACTATTTGAAAAATTTGTATCTCTCTTTTTTCTTTTTTTTTTCTTTTCCTTTTTTTTCTTTTTTTGTTTTGTTTAATAGTTCAGCCCGATCTTATCGACAGAGAAAAAAGAAGAAGATCCAAAGAAATTGTCGCAGGAGATCGATAAAGAGGAAATGAAACCAAACGATTTGTATGATCCTAATCCAAATTATCCTGAGCTACCTGCTGAGATCGGGCACAATCGTGATACTCCGCAGGACTTCGTGTCTGTGATAGGACTAGAAGCACTGACCGAGCAACCGAACGTTCGCCAATACAAGGATCTCTCGCATCTTACGGACGAGAAAAACGCGGTCGACGATAAAAACAAGAAGGAGGAGGAACCGGTTAAGGAGCAACGTCCTTCGAATATTTTGTCGAACGTGGAGAAACTTTCGCCGATCGCACCACCGGAAGCTTACGCGAGCCAAAAGTCTGACGAGAAAACAGAAAGCAAAATTGAAAGTATAACAGGAACAACATCATCTACGGAACAGCCGACATCTTTTCTTTATAAAGATTTATCTCATCTCTCTAATAATCAAAAAATAATCGATTCCACCGATAAGATGGAAGAGAAATCGAAAAAGGAAGAGGAAACATTATCGGACACAGCAAAGGATACAGGTACTCATTTCAAAGTATAATTATTCAATATTAATAATTTATAAACACTAGAAAATTTTATATAAAATAATTTATGTATATATTATAATAATAATTTAAATTAAAATTCGAATTTATTCATTAAATCTATTTAAATTCAACAATTCTATTAATGAAATAATTTAATCGAACTTATACGCGATATTTAAAATATTACATCATTTGATTAATATAAATTGTTTCTCTCTCTCTCTCTCTCTTTTTCTCTCACTCTACTAGTAATAAAAGTAACAACGAAAGAAGGGAATCCAACGAACGTTTTTAAACTTTCGCCAATCGCTCCACCAGAGGCATATGAGTCAGAAGAGAAATCAATGAAGGACAAAGTCGAAGAGAAAACTATCGATACGTCGCTTGTTCATTTACCGATTCAACAACCAGTAATTCATCTTTACAAAGATCTTTCTCATCTCGTAGATGATCAAGTAGAAGCGACTAATGAAAAAGAAAATAAAGAAGCACCGATAAAGTTGGAATCTCCATTGAAAGTTCCAACTAACGTTTTCAAACTTTCACCGATTGCACCACCAGAAGAATATTCGAAGAAAGAAGATCAAGAAGGTGTTTCTAGTTCAATACTCATGCGAGAAATCGTTCAGGATGATAAGAAAATAGATCTCACTGAACGTAACGACGATGTATCGACGTAATCTCAAAGGAAATGAGATTATTATAATACTTTCGCCTCATTGACTGAGAATTCCTTTATCGATCATATTTGATATCTTTGACGATCATTTATTAGGGATTCTCTCATTTTACAATTTTAAAATATAGGATGACATTTACGTAGAAAGAAAATTGGATCTTCTTTTTCTTAATTAAGAAAGAGACGATAATAACTACGTAATGTTGATCCTTTATGATATATGTATTTCGCTCGATTAACGTTGTCGTTTCGACTTTTATTCAAGCTTATAAAAAAGCACGAAGAGAATATTGTAAATTTTTGAAAGATGATTGATCTTCGATCTCCCTTTCTCTCTCTCTCCTGTCGATAACGTTGGTTTGAGCGGATGAATAGAGGGAATTTTGAAACTTGATTTATAATAAAACTTTTAAAGACTTCACCTTCAATTTCTTTTAAATTGCCTGTTATCAGTAATAATAAAAATATTTTCATTAACTTTAACACAAAGTAGATTGAAATATTTTAATAACATTAACAATTCTTTTGACAATTATTCACACGTATAATTCAAAGCTTTTATTTATTCTTTAAACTCGATAAGGATATATAAATGCAAAAGTAAATCTATAAATGAATGAATTGTCTTATCGAAAAAGACACGAGATAATAAAAAACACAACATGCATAGACACACACACACACACACACACACACGCACATTTTAATACGAGATTTTATTGATACAATAGACACGAAGATATATATCTTATTACCTTAAAAATGTATTCACTTTTTGTTATCTCCATATTATGGCTTTTTTCGTATCCTATAATTATCCTCGCCATTTTTTAAAACAAGCGTGACCGGAAGCTTTTTGGTGTGAACGATTTTCGAGGATGGCTTTGAGGCAGCTGTAATCAAATGCTGTGACGTTTCCTCGTCCACTTTTATATCAAAGTAAGATCTACGATCGTCGAAAAATCTTTCACTGGTAAGAACGAAAATCTTGTCATGAAGTCGACAAGCATAAGCCGGTAATTTTTTTCCAACTTCCGGCACGTAAATATCTTGAACAATGTTGCAACGACAATAGCCTGATGTCTGACCAGTGTATAATCCAGATTCGTGTTCCTTTTTTGTCTCAAAATTCGATTGATACTTTTGATTCTTCTTTATGGACGATTTTTTCCAATTTCTCAAATCACGATCATCGTCGACTTGAATTTTTGCTATTCTTGACAAAAGTGATACAAGACAATGACGTTTATCCTTTACATTTGAACACAAATCAGTTTGCGTGTTCATACTGAAATTCTTCGACGAGTGATTACTCGGTGAATCGTCATTGATCGAAGAACGTGAGATAACTTCCAATGATTTATTTGTATCTTCCTCTCCTTTAGTCGTTAATTCCATCCTTTGATCTTTTTTTTCGATCATATTGCTACTGATATTAAAGACGAGGCACGTCAACGTGACGAATAAAATAAAGCGATACATAATGTTGTAGCACAATTAATTGAATATAATTCAATATTAATTTCACAAAATATATCTATATATCAGTTTTTTCAATGTCTTCCAGAAACTGGAGAAGATTGAGAACGTCGTTGTAATGCCTTGCTGGAAGAGAATCTACTGAAACCGAGAAAAAAGAAAAAAAAAAAAGATATGAGTGGTGGTATCTACGAGCTCGTGCAAGGTGTTAGAGTATGTTACGGGTAGAGATTAGAAGATGTTCTGCTTTATAAATGCCCTTTATGTTCAAGGACCTTATCTCCTGTTTAGACATTCCTCAATTCCGTTTAGTCTATCTCTATCTGCTCGTCTTCTTGACTTTTTCAACGATATCAAACGAGATTTTACTCGACTTTGAACCAATGTGTGGTTTAATCGATACCCAATGCAACCATTGATTACAACTCATAGATTATTTTATTTGAAATTTATAATGTCGAAAAATATTTAATATAAAATAAAATAATTCTAATTTTAATTATCAATTGATCGTTACAGGACATTTTGTTAGTTTTTTTTCTTTTTTTTTTTCTTTAATATTTGTAACATATTACTCCGTATGTGCATTTTGTAAAATTACAATTGTCTATAGTAACATAGAGAAGAATTTAATTTCAACAACGTACGAGTGTGTTCCTTTTCTCTTTTTTTGTTTTTTTTTTTTTTTTACAAATGTATAAAAAAACGAGTAAATGTATAATAAACTAGTGTGTCAATTAATACGAAATTAAAATAACGACGAATGTGTTAAACGAATACCACGAACTTTCGATGAATTAATAAAATTTATTTTTTCTTCCTCTAGCTACTTGTTTGTTATCTCTTTGTATGGTGCGTGCATTAAAAAAAAAAAAAAAAAAAAAAAAAATTATGAATGAAAAATATTTATTCGATGAATGAACCGGCTTACTTATGAAAATCTTAAGAAAAAATGAAGACACGTAAATGTGTTAGATTTTCTGAAAGAAAAATAAAAAAGTCGTAAAACAAATTCTGTGATTCGAAGAAATCTAATTTTCTTACATACGTTAACGTGATAGTTTCTACAAAACTTTACTGATTCACAGCGATCGAGTCGTTGACATTTACGTGGAACATGCGCATGCGCGTTGTGATGTCAACAATTCTTAGCTCGGCGCGAGTAACACGTTCTGCGAAATATTGCACATGTAATGATCGAAGAATGAATTACTTTTTTTCAATATTAAGTGACAGTGATTACGTCGACTTTTGATATTTTATTATCTACAAGGTAATAATACCTTGTAATGTAGAGATTTGCATAAAACAAGCGATTCTTTTATTATCAATGATTTGACTAACCTACAATATATTTTTTTATTGGTTTTTCCTTTTAAAATTTCTTTATTCTAAATGTATTGTAATCAAAAATAATTCTTTACTCGTATAAATGTGAATCGATTAAGATTAATGAATGTGTGAAGTTTAATCTAACATAACCTAAAACAGGTTATACTGTAATCTGTTTCTGTTGTTATACAAACTTTTAATAAATTAGGGATTGTTGTGAAATAAAGAAAAATGGCTGGCCAACAGCATCCTTTCCCATCTGGATTTCCAAATGTGCAACAATCTGCAATGCGAACACAATTTGGAGGAGGACAAATGGTTTCTGGTTTGATGGGACCTCAACAAGGTGGTAAATATTTTACAATGAGATTGCAAATTAATAAAAGATAGAAATATACAAAAATTATAGAATAGTATTAAATATGGCAATATAATCATCTTAGGTATAGTGAGTCCACAACAATTTGGAGTAGGTGTTGGCGTTGGAGTTGGAGTTGGAGGAGTAGGTTCTAATGCTATGGGAATGCCAAATGCTCAACAAGTTTTGGCCCAGCAACAACAACAACAACAATCAGTTGCCATGCAACAACAAATGCAACAGATGCAACAACAACAATTGCAATTACAGCAACAACAGCAAGCAGCTCTTGTACAACAAAGTAATCAGACTAGTAATCAAGCTACTACACCACAAACACCTGTCCCACCTACACAACCTCCTCCTCAACAGCAGCAGAACAAAGATTTTAATACTGCCAGCTTGTGTAGATTTGGACAAGAGACTGTACAAGATATTGTAAGTCGTACTTTAGATGTTTTCCAAACGCTGAAAGTACTGCAACCACCAAATGGTAAGTTTTTATTTAAATTCAATATAAATTGATGATATGAGATTTTTTATATTAAACTATATTTGATCCTCGAGGCACACCACAAGGAGCTAGCGTAGCCAATGATAAAAAGACTAAAGTGCAAGAACAGTTACGAATGTTAAAATTATTATTCAAACGTTTAAGATTAATCTATGAAAAATGCAATGAAAATTGCCAACTTCAAGGAATGGAATATACACATATTGAAAGTCTGATACCATTGAAAGAAGAGTGGGATATGAAATCTGATGAGAAAAAAACATCAGAAGCATATAGATTAGCATATGAAGAAAGTAAAGAGATCACAGAGGTTAGTAAAATATTCATAAAATTTTAATAAATATTGAACTATAGATTATAATAAATTATCTTATAATTTCCAGCAAGTTGTGTTAAAAAATAGGCACCTTAAGGAAATCATTGATCATTTAAGACGTATCATTTCAGAAATAAATACTATGCTAAATATGCGTAGATCTTAGATCACGAAATGTATATACTTATTTAAGTTACAATAGATTACTACTATATGATAAAAAAATACTTATATCATAATTAATATAAGAATGCGAACAGAAATGTGTGATTTACCTACCTCTTAGAATAATTTTATTATTGATTGCTTGTAATGTCATCAACATTCATGGAGATTATGTCGTTCACTCTGAGAATAGCTTCTGGGATTATTCCAAGTGGTGTCTCCAAATTTCTCACAAATAATTCCAGGCAATCAATGTCGGAACCACGAAATTCACCAGCAACGTGTGAATTTTCATATAAACTAAATTTTGTCTTTTTACCTGTAAGATAAAGAAAATATGACAAAATAACAGAAAAATTTTCAGAACAATGTGTTCAAACAAATCACATAGATACTAGTCTATATATATAATCCTAGGTATTATATTTCACTTATAGATATATAAAATCATTGAAATTTCTTTAAAAAATTATTTGAATTCTCTCCTATCGCGCATTATATAAGTTAAACAAAAATGGAGTCTCTTTATTGGCGCCATATTCAAGTATTACTTCGAATAGGTTACGATATATTAAATAGGTTACGATATTATTTATTATCTCGATTTATTGTAAAAATAGAATATTTATTCGAAAAATACAATCGATTTTAACGTTATTGTTGTTATTATGATTAAATGAAAATATATATAAACTGATGAAAAACCAAGAAAACTTACCGACAATACCAGTTATCACACGTAGAAAACGTTCTCGTAAGAATGCACGCGCTTCTTGTTTCTCTGATGTCGAAAAGTCTAATTCTATATTTTTTTCATTACTTTCATCATTCTGTTCTTCCTTTTCAATCATTTTTTGTAACAAAATATTTTGACGATTCAACACCAGTTCTTCACTTATGGCGGAGGGAAAAGTGAGGGAATCGTTCGGCTATTACATTTTGCGCGCGCATCTTTCATCTGTGCGCGCTAAATTTAAATCTACAATATGATAGCATACGCGCAACGAGATTTTTTATTAATAATTTTATTCGATACACGTTTGAACTTTTTTTATAAGATTATAAATACATAATATAATTTGTATTTTCGATGACATACAATCATACATTTGTTTTATATCGATAAATATAAATTTGAAGAGTTTTTAATTAATATCAAAATAATTATGTTATTAGGAAGTGACCATCTATAGCCCACATTTTATAATAGGGAAGCTTTTAGAGTCACGCAATTATCTTATTTATTCCGATATCTAGGAAACACACTTTCTCGAACATGAGGGTAACCCGCAGATTTTAAAGTTGGTCTAGTGAACCACTCGAGTTTCTCTTCACTTTTGAATCGATCACAGCAAAGCGAGGATGAGCTCCTTAATCGTTCTATTTTCAATCGTCATTCTTTGCGGTAGAGGTAAGAAATAGAACAAACAAAAAAAAACATTTTATAATAATTCGTAAAACGTTTAAATTAAATTAATATTTTATTGGCGAATTTTTGTAGGAGTGAATTGCGATGATGTCACGAAGGCGCTCAAACCCGAAAGTACGATGATTTTAAAGAATAATGACAGTCATTCGTTGGCAAAGGAAATATCATGGTCAAGTCTGTTATCGAAACGATTGGAATCAATGAATATCAAAAATACGGAAAAACGTGAAAACGATAAAATAAATACTATGGAAATGTTTAACAAGCGGAAGTCGAAATTCTTAGGAAGTTTAGCTTTTCTAGCCGGACTTGGTTTTGGTGGACTTGCTGGTGCTGCTTCATCAACTGTGAAAGCCTATGCAAAGCTTCCTCAAGCCTCAATAGCCATGAATTTTGTTCCTTCGAAACAAGGGCCTTATTTAGCCGCTTATTACGATCCTTATCCTTTTGTACCTCATCCTTATCTATATCATACTCCTTTAGGATTCTATCCTTTCTTTGATCCTTTGAAATTACAATCTCTCATTAGTGGATCGTCTCAACAAAATGGGGCCGATCGTCCGGATCAAATAATTACTGTGCTCGGCGACAAGCGACCATCTGATTCTGATGATAGCGAGGAGGAGGAATATATAGTGGAAAAAAAGAAAACAGATAAATCAAAATCTTCAAGTCGACTCGAAAATCGCGTCGAAAGTGCGGAATCTCTTATTGGTAGCAATGTCAATAGAAGAACAGAAGGAGAGGTAAGAATTTAACAAATATCATATTGAAACCAGAACGATGAATCACATGACATACATTTCAATGTCTTTCTATTTATCCGTCTTTACACTTTTATACGTAGATAATTATTATTACCGTTCGGATAATCTACGATAGATCTTTTACGATTGTTCATTGAGATCGCAGTTTACGATCTTTCTGTATTTCTTTTCTATCGGCAATTTCGATTCCGTTACAATTGTTCTTATCTCTGTGAAATAATAAGTTCCACTTTGTCATTTTTACAGATGACGAACAAAATTGTTACATGTGAAACACAAAAGAAATCCGAGGAAAAAGTACATAATGTATCGAACGAGGATACTACGGTGTACGATTTCGAAGATCTTCAAGAAGATGCCGATAATTCGAGAGCGACCACAAACAGAAGAAAAACTAAAGTCAACAATTCAACGACTTCCAGGCCAAACAGTGATATTACTACAACATCTGATTCTACATCTGAATCTACCACTATCAACGTAACCATGACAAATTCAACGACGATGAAAAGTAATACAACATTTCCGCCATTTTTTGGTTATTACGATGGTAATCCACAAAACATAGATAATATTGATCTCACTTTTGATATGTTACCACCCGTTTATCAGGAACATAATCCAATCAATTATCATTTACCTTACGAAAGACCTGCCAATTTTTATCCCGATGAAAGATACAATTATTATTCGAATTCCTTTCCAAATTCATATCCTTCCGGGCCATTTTTCTCCGAACATCTATCAGATTATTCGAGTAACGATTTTGATCGATATGTATACCCATCTGATAATAATTCTCCGCCATATGTCAATCAGTTTAAACCTTTAAAGTATAATTAATTTCATTTATATATGTATATATATATATACATACATACATAGATCTAGCAGAATGTTCATCTTATCATTGAGAATATTATACCGCCGAATGAATGTTCAGTTTTAGTTTTTAAAAAACATGGTTATGCAGAACAGATTTGTAGAACACATTTTTCATTTTCCCTATATTAAAGTAAATATATAGATTTTTATTTTTAGATCTACTTATTAATTTAAGTAATAGCTTAATATATATATATATATATATATGCATATATATAAATTTTTATTATTTTTCATATGCGCCTGTCTTCTTGGGATAATGTAAAAAAAAAATATATATATATATACATACTTATATGTATCTATTTTTTCTTTGAATATTTATAGATAAACAAAAGAAAATTGAAAAAATGGTGTCAAACATTATTCTTCATATTTCGACATTAACATTTCTATTATTTTAATATTATTTTAATTATCAATATCGTTATGTTATTTAGAATAATTACGTTTAACATTTTACGTCGATAAGAATGTTTCGAATGAAAAATGTTTCAAAAGAAACGTAAATTTATACAGATTATATTGTTGGTATTATTTTTTCTTAGAATTGATCGTTAAGGACATATTCTGAAAACATTGTAGAGTTCAAAACGTGTTTGGTATCAGCGACCTCCGTACAATCATAACTACGAGAACAATTCTCTGTAAGAATTTCGTCTGTCAACAAAGTGAACAGTTCCCGATCGGTCGTATATTCGTCAAACAATATTTCTCTTAAATCAGAATAATATTACATTGCTATCATTAGGTTTTGAAAAGAAAAACAGTGCGAAATCTTTTATAAGACGTCATCCAGTTGTGTTTAAAGAATTTCGTTATTATATCGACACGTATGTATGTATCAACATCTTTTAATCTGAATTTTTTATCGAGTAAATAATTATGAATGTTGCCTAAGTGAAAAGTTTGATAAAATTTTTTTATATCGATCTATATCATAATAAGATGAAACTATTACAAGAAATATATATATATATATATATATATATATATATATATATATGTGCGTGTGACATTGACGATCAGCGTTAATGTATTTAAAGAAGAACGTTTAAACGATATCGAGAAGACATTAACTTTATAAGTAAATATAGATATTTAAAGAAAAATGTTTAGAAGATTTTGAAAAGATTTTAATTTTACAAAAGAATCAACATACTAATCGTGACTTTAAATTTATTAAATTATCTCTCTTTTCGTGAATTCGTATTAACTGTATCATTACCATCATTTTTATCATTCGAACGAAAATATGTACGAACGTGTACGTATATTTATAACTATTCGACATGATTACATTTTGACGATAGATACTTATAACCCCGATAGAGAAAGAGATAAGAGAATCGCGTTTTTACAGCCGCTCTTAGGTGACATTTCACGGGACTTTATTTGCACAATTGTTTGGACATTCGTGCGTGATCATATGGACGCAGAAAATCCTTGAAACTGTAACACAAATAATTTGTCACGGAATCGAGTAGCGGTTATATAGATATAATATGTTTTACTACATATACATATGTATATACGATATGTTAAAGAGAATTGAATGATTTTAAAGAACAAGTAGATTAGAAACGATATTTTTTACTTTTTTTCTTTTCTTTTATTTTCTTTCTTTTCTTTCTTTTTTCTTTTTTTTCTTCTTTTTTTTTTTTTTTGATAATGCAATTCACTCAGTATCACTCGTAGTAAAAACATAGGCAATCCATTGTTTACTTTATCAAATGAACACAAGGATGCTAATCAATTGCATTATCAAAATGAAACGATGCGAGTGCACTTCGAACTGCTCCGTTTTTTCTTCTTTTTTTCTCTCTCTCTCTCTCTCTCTCTCTCTCTCTCTATTTCTATTTCTATTTCTATTTCTATTTCTATTTCTTAACCGTTTCTTTAGTTTGATCGTAAGGTCTTCTTTTTAACACCGTATATATGAGAGTAGAATAATCGGAAATAAATCACGGCTCGTCTCCGCACAGTCTCCGCCTTGTCTCGGATTTAATACACGACTCGCTCTTCCGTCAGTCCATGCCGACCAATTGGACGACTCGCGGCAGCTCCCAACGAAGAAACCTGTTTTATTTTCGGACGAGTTTGGAGGGCCGGGCTTCTCGTCTATTTCGAGAAGGCCGCTGCCGCCACCGTTCTGGTATTGTATCTGCAAAGGCACACGAGTACATTGCGAATTTTCACTCACGATCCTCAATCGATTTTTTTATTATTTTTCTTTCCAAACTTCTTTCATTTAATATCGTTTCGAACATTTTCAGAATTTTTCTATTCCATTATTTTCTCACTATACCAATTTCTACGATAATTATTAATCAAATTTTATATATATATATATATATATATATATATATATATAAATTAATATTTCGAGGAGAGAATTATTTTTAATTGTATACAATTGAATTTTTACTTATCTCAAAACACAATATTTCTTTTTTTTTCCGTCATTATTACATAACCATAGTCATATCATCATCATCATTACACGTTATTACACTTGTAATATTAATTCATAAGCATCGCATTTTAATAAACATATATTAATGTAAAACATGATAAAATTTGATATGGATATCTATTTAATAAATAAGAAAGATATCTCTTATTTATATTAATAAATACTCATTAAGAGTAGCCGATTTTATTCTGTAAAAGATTATGATAATTCACGTTTTTTCGATAACAATGCGACAAAGATAAAGTTTGCCACGTGCTAAAAGTCTTAATATATAGATATACATATAAAACACACAGCATGGATCGAACAGCTCCGGTGAACGCGGAATCGCGTGCACGATTATGCAACAACGCGTACCATAGGAAACGATCAACTTCCTTTACGGAAGTGGTAAGCACTTTTTGGTGCAGCTGATTCTATCAGCTGATTTCGCGTCGACGGGCTTAACGAACGACGTTCCTTTTTGAACGAGTTATCATAAATCATTGTCCTAGAAAG